TGTCCTGGGAATTTGCCACCCAGGCCTCTTCTGAGCCATGGGGTCACCTCCAGGGTGGCAGGGTCTTGGGTCTAAGGAAAGCAAGGACACTATGTGGCCCAGGGTTGGCCGAAGTGGCCTGACTCTGTTTTGGGGACCTGTGCGGGACATAGATGGAGACTCGCCAGAGAAAGCGTGTGGCCCTGGGACTCCAGGCTTTGATTTCAAGTGTGGTTTGCCAAGGGCGCCCCACTTCCGTAATAGGTCTGTGTTCTGTGTGGATCCCATCACGTGAGTAAGCCTCACCCCATTGCCGCATGGAGGCATGAGGCCCCGTTTGAACACATGTCCTCCTCCTGTCTCTCCAGGTGGTGAGCCCGGAGGAAGACTTGTGTTGGTCTCAATGTCTTTGGGCCAGTGTCCCAAAACCAGTGCCTAGCCCCTGGTGTGCTGAAGCTTGGGACCTTCCTGGTGACCTGGTCTCCTGCACTGACCTGTGGTGACTACAACCAGGTCCCACCGGATGCCTGTGCAGGAAGGAGGGTGTCCTGGGTTGGGTCGGTGATGAGAACCTTATATTGTCCTGAAGAGGGGTGATGACTTAAAAATGATGCTCAATAAGATTACCCTGAAGCCCAGCGTAGGTGAGAATTTTTGAAGAAGACGCTGGAATCCCGAAGTCCCCATCAGGGCCCCTGTATTTTGGGCTGGAGACCTAGAGGGCCAAAGGGCATCTGGTGGGCACAACCCTGTCTCTGCACGCCTCCGTGAGGCAGCCCAGGCTCCCTGTTTGGGCTTGCTGTTGGTGGTCCAGTTTCCTGGGGTGGGGCATGAGGGCAGCTCCTCCCTGAGCCCCCCTTCTCCATTTGTGTCTTTCAGTGAGCTCTTCCAGGCAGGGCACCCTGGCATTGAGCGGCATAGGTCAGTGGATCCTGCTGGTGCTATGGGCCATAGGTCAGGCCGCGTGGAGTCGCTGAGGGTCAGCCTTCAGGACAGGAGGGTTTCCTTAGGGAACAGACTTGAATGCCCACCAGGGATGGAAGGGTTGATCCTCTAGGAAAGCGGCTTCCTGAGGAATCGAACCCAAGGAGTACACCTTCCCTGGAGTCCTGTGGGGATGACAGTCATCCAGGCAGGAGAGGGTTCCTTCAATCTCACACAGATCAGCTCCCAGCTGAGTCTTCGTGTGCTGCTGTGACCTCGAGGACTGTCTAGGCCGCATGAGGGGGTCCACAGGGCCTCTGGGATGCCATGGGGTCACACAAGAGCTCTCCATCTGTGGAGAAAGGTGAGCTAGGGCCCATGGAGTTGAGCTGCAGATATTCAAGGATCGCACATGACTTATTGCCCTGAATGGCATGGACCAATTGAGCAATATGCCAACCCGTGGCACCTCTTTGAGCCTGGAGGGGGCGGTGCTATTTCCCTAGGTTTGGGTCAAGGCTGAGCTCAGGCTGGCACCTGGTGTTGCTGCAGTCTGACCATGGACTCGTTAGCTTTAGGCCAAGGGGTCAGTCCACGTATTGCTGAGGTTCTCTCCTTGGCTGAAATTCACCCCATTCCTGTGGGCAAGTGTCTGGAAGGGTGGCCTCCTGAGGTGGAAGGCCTGCTCTCAAGGGTCTTGTCCCTGGAATATGCCGCCCATGCTGCTTCTGAGCCATGGGGTCACCTCCAGGATGGTGAGTCTTGTGCCCAAGGAAAGGAGAAGTCACCATGTGTCCCCCGAATAGCCAAGTGTGGCCCTGCTCTGTGTTAGGAGGTGTGTGGGGCATGAATGGGGACCCACCAGAGAAAGCATGTGGCCCTGGGACCCCAGGCATGTAAGGACTCTAGTACGTGCTGTGATAGGGCACGTGGGTGGGTTCCCACAGTGCACAGGGGCAGGATATGTGACTGCCAGCTTTGCAGTGGCATCTGGCATCTGGGCTAGCCTCCTTGGTTGGCGATGAACTGTTTGGTGGCCCTGGCCAGTGCCCAGTAGACCTGGCATGATGCTGGGGTCATGCAGTGGAGCCGGCATGGGCAGTGGAGGTGCTCATAGGGTCTGCAGTAGGGCACAGCTGGGGCTTCTTGCCCGACCCCAGTGACCCGCCTGCCCTGTCCTTTCAAGGATTGGTGGCTGAGAGAGCACAGGGTGCCCTGTGTCTGCAATGGGCCAGTGTTCCTCATGGAACCCATCACGTAGGTCCATGTAGGGCAAGCATCCCTGAGCCACCACACGCCACCTTCTGCCTCCATGGAGGGATGAGGTTGTGTTTGGACACCTGTCCTACTCCTGTTTCCCCAGATGTTGAACCTTGAGGAAGACTTGTATTGGACCCAATGGCCCTGGGCCAGCGTCTGTCAGTCAAGTGCCCAGCCCCAGTGCACTGAAGATGGGGCCCTTCCTGATGCCCTCGTCTCCTGCATTGAGCTATGGTGAGCACATCCGGGTCCCACTGGATGCATTGATGGGGAGGGGGTGCCCTGGGTTGGGTCAATGATGAGAACCTTATATTGTCTGAAGAGAGGTGATGACTTAAAAATCATGCTCAATAGGATTACGCTGAGGCCCAGCCTAGGTGAGAATTTTGGAAGAGGATGCTGGGATTTCTAGGTCTCTGTCAGGGGCTCTGTGTTTTGGACTGGAGAAATCCAGGTCCTGAACAGCATCTTGGCGGAGCTCTACCCTGTCTCTGCATTTCTACATGAGGCAGCCCAGGCTCCCTCTGTGGGCTTGGTGTTGGCTCTCCGGTTCCCCGGGGTAGGGCACCTTGCTGGGTCCTTCCTGAGCCCCCGTTCTCCTCTTGTGTCTTCTGTATTTCAGTGAGCTCTTCAGCCCAGGTGGGCCCGCTGACATTGACGCACATAGGTGAGTGCATTCTGCTGGCATCGTGGGCCATGAGCCAGGCCACATGGTGTCACTGAGGGTCAGCCCTTGGGAAAGAAGAGTTTCCTCAGGGAGCCGACATGAATCCCCACTGGGGAGAGATGGTTTCTGCAAGAAGCTGGCTTCCTTGGGAATCAGACCCAAGACAATGCCTTCCCTGATGCCTCACAGGGGTGACGGTGGTCCAGGCAGGAAAGAGTCCCCTCAGTCCCATGCAGGGCAGGTCCCAGCTGAGACTTTGTGTGCAGGTCTGGCCCAGGCCACATGAGGGGGGCCACAGGGGCTCTGGGGTGCCACAGGGGTCACACGAGAGCTCTCTTTCCCTGGAGAGGTGCTCGAATGGGCCCGTAGGGTCAGGCTGCAGAGATTCGAGGACTGCATCCCAACCATGGCCCTAAATGCAACCAACTGTGTTGAGTAATGGGCCATCTCAATGGCGCCTCTTTGAGCTTGGTTGGGGGTGGTGCTGTTTCCCTGGGTTTGGGTCAAGACTGAGCTCTGTCCACTGCCTGGCGATGCTGCAGGCCGGCCCTTGAACTTGTGGGCTTTGGTCTAAGTCAGAAACCCACATCCTCCTGGAGGTCACCCTTTGCATGTCGGTGAGTGGCTGGAAGAGTGGATCCTAAGGTAGGAAGTCCCGCTGTCGATGGTCCTGTCCTGGGAATTTGCCACCCAGGCCTCTTCTGAGCCATGGGGTCACCTCCAGGGTGGCAGGGTCTTGGGTCTAAGGAAAGAGAGGATACCATGCGGCCCAGGGTTGGCCGAAGCTGGCCTGACTCTGTTTTGGGGACCTGTGCGGGACATGGATGGGGACTCGCCAGAGAAAGCCTGTGGCCCTGGGACTCCAGGCTTCGATTTCAAGTGTGGTTTGCCAAGAGTGACCCACTTCCATAATAGACCTGTGTTCTGTGTGGATCGCATCACATGAGTAACCCTCACCCCTTTCCGACATGGAGGCATGAGACCCCGTTTGAACACATGTCCTCCTCCTGTCCCTCCAGGTGGTGAGCCCAGAGGAAGACTTGTGTTGGGCTCAATGTCTTTGGGCCAGTGTCCCAAAGCCAGGTGCCCGGCCCCTGGTGTGCTGAAGCTTGGGACCTTCCTAGTGACCTGGTCTCCTGCAATGACCTGTGGTGACTACAACCAGGTCCCACCAGATGCCTGTGCAAGAAGGAGGGTGTCCTGGGTTGGGTCGATGATGAGAACCTTATATTGTCCTGAAGAGGGGTGATGACTTAAAAATGATGCTCAATAAGATTACCCTGAAGCCCAGCGTAGGTGAGAATTTTGGAAGAAGATGCTGGAATCCCGAAGTCCTCATCAGGGCCCCTGTATTTTGGGCTGGAGACCTGGAGGGCCTGAAGGACATCTGGGGGGCCCAACCCTGTCTCTACACTCCTCCGTGAGGCAGCCCAGGCTCCCTGTTTGGGCTTGCTGTTGGTGGTCCAGTTTCCTGGGGTGGCATGAGGGCAGGCTCTCCTCCCTGAGCCCCTTCTCCGTTTTTGTCTTCAGTGAGCTCTTCACCCAGGCAGGGGCACCCCTGGCATTGAGCGGCATAGGTCAG